TTAAATTCAAAATATGCATTTTAAAAAGAAAAACCTGACAATGAAAACTTGAAATGATACTTAATAACATTTAGAAGTTTTGACTTCAACAAGGGAAGCTGAAGAACTTTAGATCCACCTCACAAAGCTGTTGCCATCAGTTGTCTCGAATCGCTCTCAGGGGTATTTCAATGATCAGCATTAACTGCACTTTTATTGAGTTCAATCCAAAGCTTTACTGGACGAGTTTTCTTGCCATGATAATAATGGCTTTTCAAAAGGCATAATAACGCCTTTTGGAAAGGCGTAATAATGTCTTTTGAAAAGGCATACAGACGACTTTGGAAAGGCGTAATAACTCCTTTTGGAAAGGCGTAATAACGCCTTTTAGAAAGCTTATTAAAGCCAGATACCTATATACTTAGTATATAGGTCCCTGTTAATGCCTTTTCAAAAGGATTTATAACGCCTTTTAAAATTTTTTTCTCCATAGATTAATCCTAATAGGCTTTCCTAGTTATGAGAGGCATGTGGATGTCCATAAATATACTTGTTAAACCAGTTTCAGTCCTAAAGATTTACTCCACAAATAATAATTTTATAAATTGAAATCACTGCGCTGAGAATTATATAAAAATAGAAAACAACTAAATGAATTGTCATATCGAATTTTTATAAAAATTTTAATAGCATAATACCTTAGTAAAATTAAATATCTGGCGCAAGGACAGAAACTCTATAAATAGCAGAAATATCAAGCAGGTTAAAAAGTACGGCGTGCGTTTCGCGTTATTTTCAAGCGCAATTTTAACCGTTACATAAGCTGTTCGATTTTGGACCGTTCAGTTAAAATTTAAATGTATTTCCGCCATTTCACGTGTATCTTGTAAATTTTGTCAAAAATTAATATGCAAGCACCTCTGCTTGCACACGTTAATTTGAAAGTATTCATCAATAATGATAATAGATTGCATTTGTTTTAAAATTTACAACAAGTGTAATCATATAATTTCTCAAATTAGACTTATATCAATAGCTCTCTTTTTTCTCTCAGTTGAATACATAACAAGAGGTCAAAGGGCCTTGAATTGCTCTTCTGATAAACTGTACAACCTATCACTTCTATTTGAAGCCTCTAAGTATTCTGTATATTTAGATAAAGCCTTGAAATTCCAAAGGTAGGTCATCATGACCTACATTTCAGATGAAACACTGAGAACCCAATATGATTCTAAGCCAATTAGTACCTGAGAGTAGGTCATGGACCTACATAACACTTGTCATTCTCTGAGGACCCAAAATGCATTGATGATTCTAAGCCAATTAATACCTAAAATATTTTTGAAATTGTAACCATAAAATTTCAAAAGTAGGTCACAGTGACCTCCTTTTCAGTCAACTAACTCTGTGGACCCAAGACGCATCAACTGACAAAATTTGATGATTCTAAGCCAATTAGTACCTGAAATATTTAATTAAAGCCATAAATTTTCAAAAGTAGGTCATAGTGACCTACTTTTCAGTCCACCTACTCCGAAGACCCATCAACATCAACTGACAAAGTACCCCAAATATTTCATTATAGTCATATAAATGGAAAAGTACATCACAGTGACCTACTTTTCAGTCGACCTACTCCGAGGACATAAGATATATCAACTGACAAATTTTGATGATTTGTAAGCCAAATAGTACCCGAAAATATTAAATACAGCCATAAAATTTCAAAAGTAGGTCAGGGTGACCTACCTTTCAGTTGTCGTACTCGCGTGGTAGGCCAATACGGTAAAATGAGATGTGGAAGAAATGGTGAAATACAGTAATAACTTCAGTTTTTATGATAAAATTGGTTATAAGATTGTAAAAGTAAGGTTTGGATTTGGAAATCCAATCCTTTTAGTCTTCTAGCATTCGTGTTAATTTAAAATTGTGGTTATTTTACAGCCTATTAAGTTGTTTGTGTTTACATGGTTCTCCTTCGTATATGTTATTCATGTCATTCAACACAGCCTTTCTTTAGAAATTCATCAGCAAGAACTGTCACCTTTTTCTTGTTTGAAAATAAATCAGGGTATCTTTGTTATGTGACAGAATTATTTGTAGGTATAATTGATGCAATTTTATTTTCAAGCTATTATTCACTGTGAACATTTTTAAAGAAATCGATGCATTGTTCTTGCTATTTTCTTTTGCAGATACATGGACTGACACATTCGGTTGCGTAAAGTTTGGTCGCCCGCTAAATGACATTCGAGCTCAAGGCCATAAAAAAGCTTTACAAATCTCCTTTACAAGAACAGCAAAGGCATAAATATATACTATAATAGTCATATTGAATATGGAAACATCCTAATGTAGTGTAGATTCAAGTTTATTCAAATCATGATCTCTGGGGGTAGGGTGGGGTCACATACTCACATTAGGTGATTTAAATTTTAATACAGGAATGCACTTGTTATGCCCCTGTAATTGAAAGGGGGCATATAGGTTTTGATCTGTCTGTCTGGAGGTGTCAAGTTAAACTGGACCTCATTGAATGAAGTCCCAAAACTTTATTTGATATTTTGGTTTCAATGTTTAAGAGCCACAGCTGCCTTGCCAATGACACGGCTGACTCAAAAAAAAAAATTAATAAATAAAATCCCCCGTTTATGATTATAAATATACCATTTAAATTCAAGATCAACCTGTGTAATATTATTTGTGGAAAAGTGTTATATTTCCATAGGTGCATCTATGTCATATAACTATCATATTACATTTTCTTTACTCTAATTTTGTGACAAAAGGTTAGGAAAATCAGTAAAAATAAAACAAGTATGAATTTACAAAATTTAATGAAATCATTTAGAACTGTCTTTCCCCAAGATATTTCAAAGTATAATATGTATATTAGAACTTTTTGAAACTATGTTTATTATAAAAAATAACATAGAAAACATAGAAAGGACACAAAGAAAAAAAAATTTAAAAGGCATAAATGGAAAATGCCATCATAGGTAGATATATCAATATTCACTATATACTCCACACAAACTTGATGATTTTCATATTGCAAACCCTTAACATTTACATATCATTATTGTGTTTACACATGCATAAAATAGGATTGTATGACAAAACGTGTTCAAGAAATCACTACTACAGTAGGCAAAAATGTCTATCAAATGCTTTATGGCTCTTTCAAAATTCATTTTTATTTCAAATTTTTGAAGTCTATAACAGTTATGAAGTTTATAACAAGAGGCCCATGGGCCTTGAATCGCTCTTCTGATAAACTGTACAACCTATCACTTCTATCTGAAGCCTCGAAGTATCCTGTATATTTACATAAACCCTTGAAATTCCAATTCACACTCTGAGAACCCAAGATGATTCTAAGCCAATTAGTACCTGAGAGTTGGTCATGGTGACCTACTTATCACTTGTCATTCTCTGAGGACCCATCAACTAAGTTTGATGATTCTAAGCCAATTAATACCTAAAATATTTTTTAAAATTATAATCATAAAATTTTATAAGTAGGTCAAAGTGACCTACTTTTCAATTGTTTTACTCCAAGGACCCAAGATGCATCAACTGACAAAGTTTGATGATTCTAAGCCAATTAGTACCTGTAATATTTAATTAAAGCCATAAATTTTCAAAAGTAGGTCAGGTCACCGTGACCTACTTTTCAGTTGCTGTACTCCGAGGACCAAAGATACATCGACTGACAAAGTTTGATGATTCTAGCCAATAAGTACCCAAAATATTTAATTATAGCCATAAATTTTCAAAAGTAGGTCACAGTGACCTACTTTCCAGTCAACCTACTCCGAGGACCAAAGATGCATCAACTGACAAATTTTGACGATTCTAAGCCAAATAATTCCTGAAAATATTAAATACAGCCATAAAATTTCAAAAGTAGGTCACCGTGACCTACTTTTCAGTTGTTGTACTCCGAGGACCCAAGACGCATCAACTGACAAAGTTTAATGATTCTAAGCCAATTAGTACCCGAAATATTTGATTAAAGCCATAAATTTTCAAAAGTAGGTCACCGTGACCTACTTTTCAGTTGTTGTACTCCGAGGACCCATGACGCCTAAACTGACAAAGTTTTATGATTCTAAGCCAATTAGTACCCGAAATATTTAATTAAAGCCATAAATTTTCAAAAGTAGGTCGCGGTGACCTACTTTTCAGTTGACCTTTTTTGAGGACCCAAGATGCATCAACTTACAAAGTTTTATGATCATAGGACTTAAAATGTCCAAATTATGCCTCTAAAACGCTTTGAAATCGAATGCCTGCAAAGTTCAAAAAGTAGGTCACTGTGACCTACTTTTTAATAAATATGTTTTATGGCCCCAAGATGCATCATCTTACAAGATTTAATGATTCTAAGCCCCCCCCCCCCCCCCCCCCCCCCCCCCCCCCCCCCCCCCGTATTCGAATTAATGACCTTAATTGTTTTAAAAAAGATTAGCCATAAAATTCAAAAAGTAGGTCAAGGTGACCTACTTTTTAGTTGACGTACTTTGAGGACCCAAGATGCATCAACTGACAAAGTTTGATGATCATAGGCCTTAAATTGTTCAAAATATGCCTCTAAATCATTTTGAAAAAGAATGGCCGCAAAATTTAAAAAGTAGGTCACTGTGACCTACTTTTGAGTCAACATGATATGAGGTCCTTAGATGCATCAACTGACAAGATTTGATGATCCTAGTCCTTATAGTAAGCAAAATATCAACATTTTAATAAAATGTAATTTTTGGTCAACTTTGAAGTGACCTTGAGACCACGCCCTTTGCCCCAGGGTAAATCCCCACGCAAATTTTAATCTACAACATATCCTCATCCTTTTATGTAAGTTTGGTGATAATCTGCCCAGTGGTTCTTGAGAAGAAGATTTTTTAGCAACCAGTACTTTTGTTTCTATTTTCCTAATTATCTCCCCTTGTTAAAGGGTCACAACCCCAGTTTTAGTATAAAAGGGAGCCCTTGGGCCAAGGATACCCTGTGACAAATTTGACAATAATTGGCCAAGGGGTTCTTGAGTTATGGCCCATATTCTAAAAAGTTTACGCACACCGCACAAATGGCCATAGCATTAGCTCTTTGAGCCTTTGGCTCAGAAGAGCTAATAAAATCATGATTTAAATGACCCATCTTTCAGTACTCTTAGTACTTTGATTTTAATAAATCCTCTTAATATATGAGCAATTTTTCATAAAAAATGTAATGCAATTAATAAACCAGTCTTAAAAAATGCATAAGCATGAACATTTTGTATAAACCAGGACTAGTTTATCACATATTACACTAAGATGTGATCAACTACAGTTTCTCTAGAGCCAATGTCCACCATCATACAAGCTGATGTGTCTCTGTTGTACCAAAATACTGTGGCTAATGGCTATAACATTTTCTATTGAACACAACTTTTTGTTGTTTCGTTGGTTGAAGAAGACCACAAAAATAGATGTAAATGCTGAACTACAAAATTTTACTAATCGTATATTAAGATAAGGTAGCTGTCCATGATTTTACATATCTTTCATGAAATTCACAAAATTTGAACCTCACAATTAAGAAGTAATAAAACTGCAGTACATGTATGTGTGAACCCTTTTTCTAAAGAGACATTTTTTTTGTATCATTCCTTTCCTTCAGTCCTGCTCGTTCCTAGCTCGTTTGGCAGCTATTTCCCTCTCCTGAAAAAAAAATGTTTTCTTAAACTTCAAATACCTCTTTTATGATCATCTTTTTTAATGGTTAAGCAGTTTTTACATTATCATCAGACACTTAATATGTCTGTGCCAATACTATCAGTGGATTAATGATTGATTAAAAGAGATTTATTGAGATTTTAGCTTTCACATAAAAGTCTGTCTACCTATTAATTTTGACTCTTTAGTTGACCTTGCAACATTCTGATCATTAATGAAAAAGGTGAACAAAATGAACAGTGATCAAACTATCAAATCCACTAAAGATTAGGAATTGCAACAAGAGGCCCATGGGACACATTGCTCACCTGAGTAACTTTGGCCATGCTGTTCTTTACCAGATTTCCCCCCTTGTAATACCTATTGTGGCCCTGCCCTACCCCCAGGGTTCATGATTTGAACAATTTAGAATCTACACTACCCCAGGATGCTTCCACACAGGTTTCAGCTTTTCTGGTCCAGTTGTTCTTGAGAAGAAGATTTTAAAAGATTTTTCCTCTATATTTTAATGTAAAACTTGGATTCCCTATTGTGGCTCCGCCCTACCCCCAGGAGATCATGATTTGAACAATTTAGAATCTACACTACCCCAGGATGCTTCCACATAAATTTCAGCTTTTCTAGCCCAGTGGTTCTTGAGAAGAAGATTTTTAAAGGTTTTTCTTATATATTTCAATGTAAAACTTGGATTCCCTATTGTGGCCCCGCCCTTCCCCCGGGGGTCATGATTTGACCAATTTAGAATCTGCACTATCCCAGGATGCTTCCACATAAGTTTCAGCTTTTCTGGCCCAGTGCTTCTTTAGAAGAAGATTTTTTAATGACCCCACCCTAGTTTTGTCTTTTCTTGATTATCTCCCCTTGTAAAGGGACTTGGCCCTTTATTTTAACAATTTTCACTTCCCTTCACCCAAGGATACTTTGTACCAAGTTTGGTTAAAATTGGCCCAGTGGTTCTTGAGAAGAAGTTGAAAATGTGAAAAGTTTACAGACGGACGGACAGACAATGGGTGATCAGAAAAGCTCACTTGAGCTTTCAGCCCAGGTGAGCTAAAAAGGGCAAAAAACATGGACTCCTGGAAACACCAGAGGTGGGAACAGATGGCTAGGAGGAGAAAGCATCCCCTGTCAACAAGTCAAACTTACTGTGAGCCCTCAGCTGTAATTTAAGGGTTTATTTGTGTATTTCAGTGTCACAAATAGTATATTTGTGCCGTAATAAGTCCTCATAATTTGTTTATTGTCCTATGGATTGAAATGTGTTTTCATTGGTTTAAATGAGACATTACTGCTGGCTATATGTCTTTGTTGGGCAAGTGAGAATTACAATATGGCCAATGCATTGCAAATAGAAATCATTTATTATAGAACCCACTTTCCAAAATGTTTTTTTAATGTTTAGAGAGGAGCCCTTTTAAGAAATAATGTCAGATTTGTTGTGTCTGCAACACAGATGTACAAGTGGATTCACTCAAACAAGAGAGGAGAAATAAATATAGAAATAGTGCACTTTTTTTGTGCAATAAATATACACTTTTTCCATGGGTAGGAACTGTAGCTCTCTGGTCGTCCATCCAATTTTTTTTTAGGTCAGTGAGCTACAGATCTACAGCTAATCTGTGATGTACATAATTCTTTTTCACATTCAGATCTGGTCAATATGCTTCAAATCAGTGAGCAACATGTAGTTGTTTGTACTCTACTTACTGTACCAAACTGGTAGAAGTGGGGAGCCATTTCACACAACCAATCCGGTTCTATAACTGTAATGTCTCTCATATAATCTTTATTTGTTTGGACAACATCATTAAAAACTACCCTGAAACAAGAAAATTTAATGTTAATAGTTTTTTGTCAAGATATGATGGGGACTAGTCTAAGTATCAACAGGTCTGGAATATATTCCAAACAGGGGATAATACTGTGATAGGGCTGTTTATCCACAATTGGGAATTTTTTCATGCCTTGGTTGGGTTCTTATTCACATTTAGAATAAAAAACCTTTTGATTCCAATGAAAAGGTAAAATGTTTTCTCCACTTCTTCAGATATCTTGATAAACTGCAGTGTAATGGATAATATTCATGGTAATTAACACATGTATTGCAGTGTTCCCAAATAGCACCATTGATTGTTCTTTTTTTAAAAATAAAATTAAAATATGCAACCAAACAAGAAACATACAACAGATTGTTTTAAACAGGTATGGTTCAAGTAATGTTTTAGATCTATAAAAAGGGCTTTTTGTTGATCATTACTTTTCACAAAAACTTATTTTGAAGATAATTTGTCATAGTCTGGAATTCAATGACTGTTATTTTTTTTTTTAATAATTCATTAATTTATTGAAAAATCAAACAGTAATAAAACACTATAAAAAAACTTAAGTTTTCAGAAACCTGAGGACTGTTCCATAAGGAGATTGGTCAATTCCATTATTTACAATGATCATCCAGGATTGGAAATCTAATTATCTACACCTTATAAAGAATATTTCCAAAGGCACAGGAGTGTCTATGTTTTTAAACATTGCGAAGTGTCATATTTCATGCACCGAATAAAGAGAATGCTTATACAATATTTCCATGAGTAAAATCTATTTATTTTATTTTACCAAAAAAGATGTTTCATACACTGTTGTGAAATCTGTTAACTAAAGAAAGAATTTCAGGTCAAAACATCTTAAATTACCTACTCCAGATAATTATATGTACATATGAAATATTTTTTTTATAAATCTATAATTACAGCTATTTTAATTGTTTCAATAATCAAAATTACAAATAAATAACAAAAATTGTTCCTTATAATTAATGAAATTCCCATAACCTTAGTACCTATTCAAACATGACTTCTCAGCTATTAAGGCAAAATAGGAACACAACATCAAATACTTTTAGTGGCATAGGAAAAAAATATCTTAATATCTTCATTTAAAAAAAAAAAAAACTGCAGATCTGATAGAGTTCATTATTTGTACCTCTTAAGTACAGGAACCTGCCATTAATTTTTTCCTGACCTTGGCTTTCAAATTCCAATACGAAAGTAGATTAAAAAATAATTACATCTATCATTATCGAGACAATGTCATGATTTTTAGATTCATATATCATGTATTTCCTTGTTACTTTCAATACACGAGAAATATACAATTACAGCAAAATAACAGAAGTAAGTCATTATATTTATATATATAATATATATATCGCAAGTGCGATGCTTATTCGATCTTGCAAGTCTGGTCCAGTAGTTACTACATGTACCACTCTGGATAAGACTGCTCTATAGTCACATTGGAAGCTTATGCAATGACAGCTTAGAGGTTTGGTTATAATTTGCTTTACCCAAGTTTACAGAAGTGAGCTAAATTAAAACCAAACATTACTCTCTGTAGGAATGTTATTTATTGATGGGGATAATTTGAACAAACTTGATTCCATATTAATATGACTAATCATGACTTTGCTGTTTTTGAGAAGATTTCTATAAAGATTTTTTCCCTACATATTCCCATATATGACTTTGATTGCCTAATGTGGCCCCATCCTAACCCCAGGGGTCATGATTTGAACAAATTTGAATCTACACTACCTGAGGATGCTTTTTTATTCACATTTACTGATCATGACTGCTTTTCTTGAGAAGAAGACTTTCTAAGATATTTCCTATATATTCTTGTGCATAACTTTGATCCCCTTTTGTGGCCCCATCCTACCCCAGGAGTCAGGATTTGAACAAACTTGAATCTACATTACAGGAGGAAGCTTCTATATAAATATTAGTAATTGTGGTTTTGCTGGTTATCACAAGATTTTTTAAAGATATTTTCCTATATATTCCTATGTATATTTTTGATTCCCTGTAGTGGCCCCACCCAACCCTCGGGGGTCATGATTTGAACAAACTTGAATCTACACAACCTGAGGATGTTTCTGTATTAGGTAATATTAGTAATCACAACTTTGCTGTTCTTAAGAAGATTTTTAGAGATATTTCTTATATGTTTCTGTGCAAAAATTTGATCCCCTGTCTTGTCCCCATCCTACCCCTGTGGGTTATGTTTTGAACAATTAAACTTTAATCTACATTTTGTAATGAAGCTTTCACATAAGTTTCATTTTTTCTGGCCCAGTGGTTTTTGAGATTTTCCCTTGAAAGAGGGTGTGGTCCTTCATGTAAACAAATTTGAATCCCCTTCACCCAAGGAAGCTTTGTGGTAAATTTCGTTACGAATGGCACAGTGGTTCTGGAGAAAAATATGAAATTGGGAAAAGTTTACCCCAACAACCACAGACAATGGATATATTTTGATCAGAAAAGCTCACCTGAGCCAAAGGCTCAAGTGAGCTTTTCTGACCATTAAATCTGATCATAAAAATGCCATTAAATTTTCAATAATTCTTAATTATTTCCCATTGAAAGAGGGTGTGGCCCTTCATATGAACAAACTTAAATCCCCTTCACCAAAGGATGCTTTGTTGCAAGTTTGGTTGAAATTGCCCAGTGGTTCTGGAGAAGTAAAAAATGTTAAAAGTTTACAGATGACAAAAGACAGATGACACAAGATAGACAGACGCCGGACATCCTCTTTTCAGATAAGCTCACTTGAGCCTATGGCTCAGGTGGGTAAAAAATTACTTATTTCCGTGGGGTCAAATTTTCTTGGTTTGGGCAAAAATTACTGGTTACAGGGGATTTGGTTTGGTGGTTAAAGGATATATATATATATATATATATATATATATATATATATATATATATATATATATATATATATAATTATACAGCAGTATGAATTTTTTACATTTTGTCAATGACATGACTTTGTGGGTCTCTTCAATACATGAAAACAACAAAAATTTAACTCACACAAAAATTTGTAATTTCACAGTAATCCTTTAAATACAACAAAATACTGTGATCTATTTCTTTGGTTGATGTTATTATTAATCCACTAAAATTGAAATTGCTTCTCGAATTCAATTACCATATATTCTAACTGAATGTTAATAAAATATGATGTAGATTAGTAGCAACTACATCAGATTGTTATAGAGTTAATATACAATAATGTCATCCATTTAAATAATACAGCAAGTAGTTTGAATAGAAATTATTTAGCTCCTTGACTGAAGAAAAATATTTGAGCAGTAAATATTATTTTGGCAGTACACATTATCTTAAATCTAATTAGTTTGTACATTATACAACTACGAAGAAAAAAATGAGTGATGATAAAAGCTATCTTGCAGACATCTATAAATTGACCTTTAATTTGACAGACAGCACATTAGAGACAAGTTAGGATCTGACTCTTACTGCAGAAAGCTAGATATTTTTATCCTAAGGAAAGATATACCGTGGTATATATATATATATATATATATATATATTTACTTCTTTGAAATTTACAATTTCTTCTAAATATGAGTTTCTTTCTTTTTTTTAATTTAATAATTTTTAATACTTAATTTGTTAATTTAAAATTATAGATCTATCGCAGATTACTTTAAAGTGAATTGCCTTGCACAAGAATCTCAAATGCCATTTTTTGCTCTCCTTATTTGTAGCAATTTAAATTTTCCCTTTGCAAATGCTCAAAACAGTCAATGTGAGCAAAATTCCTATCATTTTCTTGACAAAAAAAGAAAAGTTTACATTAATAGGGTAAAAATAGTCTCAAGTTTATTTAAATAGAAGCTTCTCTGTTAATGACTTGGAAATAAAAAATTTGACGACCTTGACATGCAACTTTTGACCTTTTTTTTTTTTTTACATTGACATGGGTATTGTAGGTATTCATTACAGATTCTACTACATGCAAATTATTTACCGGTATGTTGTCTTCATTCAATTTTTCACATTTTATTTTCAATCTGCAATAGTGTCCTTCACCTTTTAAAGTTTATCGTTTCCCTGATATTTTTAGAGAGACAACTCTTAAATAGGATACTTTATGAAATGACCAAGTAAAACTGTCATTCCTGTCAAATTTTTCTCTGCAAGGTATGCTGAAATTGTGTGCATTTTAATAATAAATTAGATTTCTTGTGGAAAATCATAAGCATTAAGGAAAAATTTATATGAGTGAGGAGAGGGATAACAAAATTTAAGATATGGTCTTGATAATCTATAGGGATCATCCTCATAACCTTAAGCACTTATCAAGTAAAGTCACAACAACAGATCAAACTTCAAACTGTCTGACTTTAATTCAAGTTGAAATTTAGTAGTAATATACTTTTCAAAATTCCACAGATGCAGAAAAGAACTCTTCATGTAAAGATTTCAAATAAGTAGTGACTATACCAAAATCTTTTTGTATTAATTTTCACTTTTTCACTTTTCATGCTAGCTCAATTTTCCTACACAGAGGCTTGGTTACAAATTAAGTAACAAATATCATAGCCCTACACTGCATGCAGCAGATACTGCCCTGATTTGCTGGCAAAACAACTTGAAATTAAGAATATAAGCAATAATTAATGTTTGATGAGCCTACCATTTTGGTGGGTCCGTAAAATTGAGTACTGATGTTGGATGGATATGAAGTTCATGGTCATCTCTGACTGTTCTGTATACCCCTGTGTAGTGAAGGTAGGCAGCATTGGCAAAGAACCCTGAGGTTATACAGCGTCTTATCAGGTTCACATCATCTACAACAGTATAAGAATAAACCAGGAATGTAGTTTTAGTATACTCAAACATATTCTCCCTTTCACATCAATTCAAAGGTCAAGGTCATAGAGAGGTCAAAGTCTATGTATATGTGTCATTTTAAGACCTGACTCTCATTCTTTTTACTGTGAACAATCACCATTGACTTTAATGGTATTGAACCTATGACCTTATCACTAAAGAGGAGTACTCTACCACATGACACTGAAACATGAAAGGTACCAAATTTAAAACATTTTTGAATGAAATGAAGTGAATATCTAATCAAGATTTAAGGATGAACAGTCTGCCATGAAAATCGACTCTTCTTTATTTGAGCTCTACAGAAGCCACTTGAACATCTAAGTCTTCCCAGTAAGGAATTTGCATCACATTCTTGTACTATCAGTCATCTCAGGCTAAAGTTGGGGTATTCAGGAAATTAATTATTAAGATTTTTACAGATTCGTAATTACTAGCAATTTATCATTTGCCAAATTCTGGAAATCTTCCAGAGTTTGATCTGGATTAAGTAGAATTAATTCCATAAAGAATCCCTTCCCTGATAGCCAAGTTGTCAGGTGCAGTGTCCTACTTTATACATAATGTTCCAAAGATTGTTTAAAACAATGTAATTTTTAGAAAATTGACATAAAGGGGGTCATTGAGTATTTAAGATTGCAACAAAGTAATCAAATAAAAAGTTTTGCACAGTGTGATGAGATAGTACGTTTATTAAATAAAATTTAAATACAGCCCAAGCTCATGTTAATATACATTTTTTCAAGTTCAATGATTGCCTTGTACTCTGATAACTTCTCTTAATGATACAAATTTTAATTTTTTCCCCCCAAGTTTCCAGATGATGAGAATAGCATGGTGATCTGACTAGTAACTGTAAAAAATACTTTGATTTGTGAATATTATATATTATGAAAAAATGGACTTACTGATAATTCAATGGTCATTATTCACAACATTTGACTTCATTATACATGTCTATGAAAAATTGTGTAAAAAATATCTTAATATATTAACTAGAAATATGTCCATAAAACATACATTCCCCGCCCTAGTGGTTCATTAGTAATGCAACATGAAAATTTGTATAAGTGTATGAAGTTTGATGCAAATACATTGAATAGCTCCCTTAAAAGTGAGTTTTATACACAATAAATAGTAAAGTAAAACAGTGCATAAGCTAGCTGCATAAAAATATCTTGAATAGTTGAAACTAGGCTACATGCAAAGTTATGAAAAGAAGAGGTCAAAGTCAAAGGGATTGGGGGTCAACGTAAAAAGATTTTGATGCAGTTCAATAGCACTCACCAAAAGAATCAGCATATGAAGTTTGATAAAAATACCTTCATTTAGTTTTTTAAACTGAGCTAAACACGAAGGATATGATTCTCTATATTAAGGTCATTTTCCGGCCTACAATAAAATCACTTAAAAATGAGATTTTGTGTAACTTTATAATCATTCTATTTTATGATTCTGATGTTTGTTTTTCAACATCAATCACCTAAGTCACGTGATTTAGAGATAACAAATGGAGGAAAAATAAAGAAAAATTGAGGGTAGGTCTATTAACATCAGGTTTCTATGCATGTTTCTATATGTAAATGATCAAAATTTGTTTATTTATGTCGGACATACAGGGACTAGTATGGGGCTAGTAATGCTACCAAAGATGTGTGCTGCTTCCCGAAATCCTAATCGAGTCCCCTCAACACCCAGGTAACACAAATACTTGGATCCTAAGTCACTCATACTGAAATAGTATGAGGGTCCTTCTGACAGGTTGATTGAGGCAAGAATTCCTGTTATGAAATCATCCCATCAGCAATTCCCTATCTATAAAAGTTACATTTGTACCTATAGAAAAATAAGTTAATAATACAAATAGCAAATGTATCTTCCCACTACAACAAAGATAGCTTTTACCATTTCTAGTTCAAACAGATATACAGTACTTCTAAGCAATAAATACAAAAATGTTGCATAAATAAACTTAACTATATATAATTAAAAAAATAATTATAATAAATAACTGATATTCACACCTTAGTATGTAAAAAAAGAAGTATTATCTCTACGCAGCTAGGTTAAGGACGCCCATGAAATATACGCCTTGATATATTTAGGGAAAATGAATACAATTTTAATATTTTTTTTAACAGCATTAGTTTTGATAAATGTGAATTGTGGTGTTTTGCACTTGTATATATCGGGTCTCTCCTGAGTTCGGCCAGAGCGACATCGCTTACATCAGCTGTTTGTCACGTGACAGGTTTAAAATTAGAATATATATTTACAACTACAAAGATCGTAAAAGTTCAATGATATACGGGCATTTTTCCGCTGTAAAATTTATTCTGTTCTCTTTGAGACAAATTCCTTAACACGAAAAGTGCTGGGAGCAACTTCCTCATGCTCGGGAATTGTGTAAAATTTAGTCCTCTTTCTATAAACTCCTGACTAAAATGTAATACGCATTGTTATAATGTTACATAACGAAATAAATAAACAATACACAACCAGCTCCCAGCACTTTTCAGAACAGTAGGAATAATAGCTACACGTATTTAAAAATTCAGAATTTATAGTGAAGCGGATATCGTTGACTTTTTGATATTTCCGAGGGGCTTGACCTGTCATTCTAGCACGTTACTGTACAAACCTGCTCCCTACGGCTTTATACAAAGTCTACACATTATCAATATAGTTTGACAATAAAATGTGGATTAATATATTTCACAATATGTCTCTTATTTGGTCCGACTACGTGTGTTTTGTATTTATTTTTATTTTTACAAGCTACGATAAAAGCTTGATCCACGCCTCAAGTACAGAGAAACTGCGTGTCAAACTAACAAATGACGTCATCTCAGTAAGTACAGCGAGATCAAGCTGACTTTCATTTTACATACGCTGAGTGCTATTATGGCAAGATAAGTTGTATATCCATTTATCTTTATACTATTTATGAGGAACGAAAGTATTTAGTATGTTTTAAAAAGAACAAATAGTATTTATTCATCGAGATTCATTTGTATTGTTTTAACGTGACGTCATAATAGCTTTCCCGAACCTCTGCATAGGCTGACGTATATATGGGAGTCCTTAACCTAGCTGCGTAGCTGACATTCAATGAGAATCGTCCTCACGTGTAATTTCATAACATCCAGTCTTTCCAGTCCTTTGATTTTAGATTTTTTGGTAAAAAGTTGACATTTTTTGAGTAAAAATGCATGGCTTATTTTATTTTTGGTTATCAACAGAATTGTGTGCTCTAACTGAAAGTTTAAAATATGAAATAATCTACATGCCCTGATAGTCTTCATTTATTAAATTGTTCTGCAAATATCTTAAAAGTGAAGCAAAATCTTTTTATTTACATGTCATAACCACCTTGTACCAAGTTCATAATCTGGTAGTAACTTTTTATGTTTATTAGAAGTTTAAATGTAAATTTTTGTGTTGGTTAAAGGTGGTTATGACACATATATTGTGTAGGAGTTGCCAAATACACCCATCCTTTCGAGTTTTCCCATTGCCCTAATGCTAAAACGGACCGATAGTACATTACTTTGCGACCTTATATCATAACAAATACTATAACATCATGAAATAATCAACATTTATCATTAAATTGGATCATTAGCCTACTGATTCATGAAGTTCTTAAAGGAAAACATACTACTTGAAAATTAAGGAAATGCCAATTTCAAAATGTTGATGAAATGGAATAGCTCTCACAAATATCTATCAGCACATAAAGTTTGATAAAAACACCTTCAGTAGTTTCTTTGAAACTGAGCTAAACACATTTTTTTTAAAAGTAAGGTCAAAGGAAAGGTCAAGCAAGAGGCCCATGGGCCACATTGCTCTCCTGAGCACATTGGCCAGAAAAAAACAGAAATCAGTTAAGATTGAAATTAAATTAAATAAATCAGTGATTACAAATACCCCCCTTGGGGGCAAGTGGGCACTGTATCTAAACTAACTGAGGATGCTTCCATATTTCTTTGACTAATCATGGCTTTAGAAGATTTTTTCCTATATGTTTGATCTATTGTGGCCTCATCCCCCCCTCCTCCTCCCCCAGGAACACAATTTGCTGTTCTTGTGGAAAAGATTTTTTTTTAAAAAAGATTTTTATGCCCCACCCTACCCCTGGGGGTCAACATTTGAACAAACTTCAATTTACATTATATAATGAAGTTTTCATGTAAGTTTCATCTTTTCTGGCCCAGTGGTTCTTGAGAAGATTTTTTAAAGATGCTACCAATTATCAATTATCTCCCCTTGAAAGACACAGTGGCCCTTTGTTTGATCAAACTTGAATTCCTTTCACCCAAGGATGCTCTGTGCCTAGTTGGGTTAAAATTGGTTGAAAAGTTCTTGAGGTTTTGGCTCAGCTGAACTTAAAGTCTAGCATTTCCAATGTTTTTTAATACTGGGCTGTCCAAAAACAGTATGATGTTGGACCAGTTGGTGAGATTTTGAACCTGTCAATGAAATACTGGATCACCATGACATTTTTTATGTCACAATGAAATGACATTTATCCTCAGCTCATGGCCTGATCATCCAACATAATTCAACAAATTATATCTAATTTGCATTCATTGGTGTTCAACAAGCTGAAAGAGTTATGGAATTGACAGTTAAATCTGCACTGTTGGTTAAAGTTCAAAATTCTGAATTGCAAACATGATTTGTATCAGAAATGATTTTTAAAAATAACACAATTATTCCTTTTTTTTTTTTTTTTTTAAAGCAAAATGTGTTTTTCAGAACATCTGAATCAAACTTTTGCCCTCAGCCTATTGACCTCAGGCAAACAGTTTTGTTCTGAGGTCAAACAAAAAAACTTACTCCCCTCAAACCCAGTCAATAAATGTATACTGTCCCAAAGACATGCAACAGAAGCTCCATCACTCAAAATCTGTCCATTAGTTTCTTGTGACAGAGATAAAGTTGTCTTCACACT